GTTATATTTTTGGTCCCCGTTACTATTAAATTTGGGGTCCTGCGATACATCGCTATGGCGATAAATTACAAAATCCTTAAATAATTTATTATAATTAATTAAAATTGTGATATTGACTTATAATTTTGGTAAATATTATATTTTTGATCTATTACTTGCATTTATAATACTAATAATTTCTTGTTTAAATTTGGTTATATAAATCTTATTATTTTTTCTATAATTATTTATTGGTTATCTTCTTTTATGATTTGATTTTTATCATTAATATTAATAATTTAAAAACTTTAATAATTTATAATTAACTTAATATTTAAATTTTGAGCACATAATTTATCAAATAATTTAGTAATTAATTATAAAATTTCAATTAAATTAGTAACAGAAATAATAATAAATAATACTATTATAAAAGTATAAATATAAAAAAGGATATTAAGATATTTATGAAGTTATTGTTTTTGATTTCTTATCTAAAAAAAAGAATTAATATTTTTTATTATTTTTATAAAAATTTTTAAAATATTACAAAATAAATAAATATATTATTAAATTAAAAATTAAAAAAGAATTCTATATTATAATATTTAAAAATAAAATTATAATATTAGAAATTTTCAATTATTTTTGCTTCATATTATATATTAATTTTTATTTTCAATTTCTATATAATAGTATATATTTTCATATTTTGTGCTGTATTTTTTGAATTCTATTTTTGTAATATTTGATTATATATATAATAATATTAATTTCTTTTAGATTTTTCTTATATTATTTGTAATAACATATTATTTGCTTAATTATTTTATTTATTTTCAATTTTACATGTATTTAATAATTGGATTTTCTGATTTGTCTTGTAATAGTATTTATTGTAAGATTATTAATTTTTGATATTTCATTATCTACTTATATTACTTATAGAAAAAATTTTGAAATTTTCTTCTATCTAATAAGTAATTAATATTATTTAAGTTTTTTAATTAATTACTATTATTATTTTTTTAATTTGTTAATATCTTTTTTATTTATTTTCAAAAAGATATTTTATTAATAGATATAATTTTAAATATTCTTTTAATTTTTCTCATATTTTTTAATTTTTTCTTTTTATTGTATTATCTATTAGAAATATTATTTATTTTTGTATTTATTTTTTGTAATTCAAATATTGTTTATCTTTATCTTTATTTTTATTAATATTAATAATAATTGTTTCTTTTATTAAATTATATAAAGTACAATTATTATAACATTTTTATATCAATGACAGTTACATTTATAAAATATATATAGTCAAATTTCTCTATAATCACCTTTCTCAGAAAAATAAAATTTTGTGATTATAGAGAGAATATGATTATAAAAGAGATTTTTTTATTATATTTATATATAAATAGAAAAGTAAAATAGTGTGAATATAGAGGAATATAACTATAAATGAATTTAATTATAAAGAAATTTAACTATATTGTCTATTTTGATATTTTTCTTTTAAGTAATTTTTTATTTGAATTAGTAAATATTTATTTTGTTATAGTAATAATAAACTATAATTATAAATAAAATTGTAGTCAGAAATAAAAGCTACAATTTGATATAAGATAGTTGTTATAATAATAATTATTCAAAGAGATATAAATTCGAACTCAGACAAAAGTCCAGTTTGATTCAGTTCATAGAAACACTACACATAACATCAGTAAATATCATTATTAGTTAGAATTTGATCATTGTTTTTTAGAACATTAAAAGATTTTTTTTGAACTTGATTGGCATGTATAAGTATTAGTTTCAATAAAAATATTATGCAATTATGTTTTATTGCATATATTGTATTAGATTTATTCTTTCTGTATATGCATCAAAGTTATGGTTTATATCATATAATCCAAAATGTAGTTAATGGAAAATTAGCTGATTTGTTAGCCTGAACTTGGAAAAGTGGAGGTGTTTGTGGGTGAACAAGCAAGATCTTCAACAAAATTAGATTTAACAAAACTAGCAATCGAATCCTTCAAATTATATGGAGAGCTAAGAGATTGCTTAAACGTTCGAATTTTACGTGCAATGGAGGCTGGTGATACTAGCTACAATATTCGTATTGTATTCGGTGTGTTAGAGCAATCGTTCGAGATGGGGATGGTGTTTATGTGGAAGGATGGAATATACATATACGAAGAATTTGGATTGCTGCAAAATTCATACAATGAAATCAGGAATTTTAAGATTATTAGAATTTATAGTGAGCTTTGTTTATTTTTTGTATATTTTCTGATTGAATATTTAGTTAATACATTCTGAATTATTGTGTTGCAGTTGGTCATAGAGAAGATCGTTACAAGAAGAGTCGAAGTCAGTGAATATAGTAATGATTATTGAAAAGAAAATTTGGAGAAATTTTATCAAAAAACCAAAAGTTAAGAAGTGCGAAAAAGATTATTAAATTTTTTATAATTATACTTGTTAGAAGAACAACAATTTGATCCTTAGCCAATCATACCACAATAAATAAAATAAAATAAACAAAATCAAATTAGATTCAAACTCGTATTTGTTATGTTTCTGTTAATAATTTCGACTATTGTATTTTTTTGATTACAGGCTCAAGAGAGATAGTAATGTAAGAATATATTTCGTTGAAATTTCAATCACATGATCCGTTTCAGGACAATAAAATATATCATATTGATCATCCTGGTGAGACGCCAAGTGACTGGGTGAATCGAATTTGAAACCGCTTAATGAATTCCGAAAAATGAACACTTTATCTTATGAGGGCTCGATACAAAACACTTTGCATAGTTAAAAATCACGATCATTAATGATTACAAAACGGGAAGTGCTGTATCACGTGACCTTCAAGAATCTACGCTCTCGTGATCACAGAAAATTGACGTTAAAGGTTATTTTATCGTTTGGATTAGGGTTAGGGTTAGAGCTGAGGATGAGGTTATATGTAAAATTGCTTTTCTGATATTTTTTATTAATGCTCCAAGCTAGATTTTGACATCTTTTTTCCACATTTTTCACATTTTTTAATTTCTTGTGTCAAAGGTCACACAATTTAGCATTGTCCCGAAGCACTGTCCGATTACAAAATCATTCAGTCACGAGGAATATGATCTGCATTTTAAAAAAACCTTTCGGGGAATCCAAAATTTTGTGTTTCGATAATGCAAAGTTTCAGGCGTTTTCTTTTGCTTACCAATTTCCAAAGGAACTATATAAAGCAACATTTTCTTTTTAAAAGCAAGCCCGTTATTAGCTCTTACCATACGTGGCATGAAGACGCTGCGGATTTACTGCCGAATAACGTTGATCCTAATAGAGATGAGTTCAAGGTTTTGTCAAAATTTAGGAGCTATTTACTTATAAAATAGAACAAACATATTTAAACTTGTAAATGACATAGGAAAATGCCGAAAAAATGGATAAATTAGTCAAAGACCTTTATAACATAGTAGAAAAAATCAAATTAGGTTGGTTTCCTTAGGATTGCTAGGTTCTTTGAATATATTTACATAATTACCTCGGAAAGAATAGGCGGCGGGGAAGAGTCACGGAAACGACACCTTAGTCGAAATAAATTATTGTCCAGGGATCGGTATAGAATATTCTAATTAGAAATGAATAATTGAATTCGATGATGATTGATTTTACTAAAAAATTATTCCATTTCAAAGTATAAATCGACTGTTGGACAATAGGCAAGCGTTTTTGATTATTTAATATTGAGCTTTGAAATTCACTTTGTCTCAAGAAACTATATAATTTATAAATAAAATTCCATGCAGTTCTCCATTTCTTGAGCTATCACAACTCGCAGGTTATCATCTATACTCGGACGAAGTACCTGCCGGTGGAATTATAACCGGAATTGGACGCGTCAAAGGGTTAGTCGTCGTTTAGATTTTCCCAGTCTGTGTGATATTTGAGCTATTGATAAACAACTCTCAATATTCGAAAAGTTATATAATAGAGTTGAATGTATGATCGTTACTAATGATCCTACAGTGAAAGGAGGAACATATTATCCTATTACAGGTAAAGTATCTATTGCTTTATTATAATCGGAATGGACTTTACGAATAGTCATGAGCCTTCAATGCAGGAACCGACAAATTTTGAAATTGAAAAATAATAGTAAAGAAACATCTACGTGCTCAAGAAATTGCAAAAGCGAATAGATTACCTTGTATCTATCTAGGTAATTACTATACATTTATTAATTTTAAACATAATATTAGTTGTTAATTGTATTATTTTCTTTTAGTTGATTCTGGCGGAGCCAATTTGCCTCATCAAGCTGAAGTTTTTCCCGATCGAGATCATTTTGGGCGAATATTTTATAATCAGGTATCTTAGATTCAGTTTAGATTCTAAAAATAAAATAATCAATCTAATTTTTCCTCGATTGATAATGAAAAAAAAGGCTAATCTTTCAGCAGAAGGAATTCCTCAAATAGCCGTCGTCATGGGTTCTTGTACGGCAGGTGGAGCTTATTTGCCAGCTATGGCAGATGAAAGCATTATTGTTTCCAAGCAAGGGACTATATTTTTGGCTGGTCCGCCATTAGTAAAGGCTGCTACAGGAGAAATTGTCTCTGCAGAAGAACTAGGTGGTGCAGAGCTGCATTGTAAGTTGCATTTAAATCAAGACTTTCGTTTATATAAATAAAAATCACTAAGAAAATAATAGGTCGTACTTCTGGCGTCACCGATCACTACGCGTCGAATGATGAACATGCTCTATATCTTGCTCGCCGTGTTGTCGAACATCTAAACTGGAGAAAACATCCGAATGTATTTAATTGAGTTTAATTTATTTTAAGCTTACCAACGGTCACCTAAAATAGACTTATTTCCTTAAAAATACAGATTACAATAAAACCACCCGAAGATCCTATATATCCAGCATCCGAAATTGGTGGCATAGTAGGCGATAATCTTCGTAAATCTTTTGACGTCAAAAATGTCATTGCACGAATTGTAGATGGTAGCCGTTTTGCCGAATTCAAAAAACTTTATGGAACTACATTAGTTACTGGTAACATTTAAAACCCAAACTCTTTATTTTATAACAAATAATGACTGCATCATAACAGATAATTTACTTGATAAAAAAGGGTTTGCACGCATTCATGGATATCCAGTTGGCATTGTTGCGAACAATGGCATTTTATTTTCTGAATCAGCACTCAAGGGCGCACATTTTATCGAATTGTGTGCACAACGCGGGATCCCATTATTGTTTCTACAAAATATCACGGGATTTATGGTTGGATCTTCTGCAGAGGCAGGTGGTATTGCGAAACATGGCGCAAAGATGGTCATGGCTGTATCGTGTGCCAAAGTTCCTAAATTCACTGTGATAATTGGTGGTAGTTTTGGAGCTGGTAATTACGGGATGTGTGGGAGATCTAGTAGTCCCAGATTTTTGTGGTTATGGCCGGTGAGCAATCTTTTTGTGAGAAATTTGTTTTAATTATTTAACACATTATATGTTTATTTATTACTTTAGAATGCGCGAATTTCTGTAATGGGTGGTGAACAAGCTGCCAGTGTGTTGGCTACAGTGAAAAGAGACGCTAAAGCCAAAAAAGGAGAGGAGGTTTGTACATATTTGCCTATTCATTTGATTATTCGTTTATTTATTTTAGGAATTTATTTATAGTGGTCAGTCGAAGAGGAAGAAAACTTCAAAAATCCTATTCGCGAAAAATACGAAATCGAAGGACACCCTTATTATTCATCAGCTCGCCTTTGGGATGATGGTGTAATTGACCCAGTCGATACTCGTGATGTTATAGGATTAGCGCTCTCTACTTCTTTGAATACTCTTATTGAGAAGACACGATTTGGCGTATTTAGAATGTAAAATGGAATAATAAAGATTTTGTTTAAATTTTGCCAGTAAGCCATGTATATCACGTGACATACGACTATATAATTAAAGATTGATTTTAAGCTTAGGGTTAGGGTCAGTGCTAGAGTTGAGATCAAGCTTATATATAAAATTGCCTCCCCGACATTTTTTATTAGTAGACAAAGATAGATTTAAGCATCTATTTTCCGTTATTTTATAATTTGTTCGCACTTCGGATTTGTTTTGCCGGGCCGATCAAAAATTTACGCATATTTATTGGTTTGTGTCACCAGCAGATCAAGAATTTACGCATTCTTATTGGTCGCCACGTGATCGAACATTTTTTTCGCCATGACTAGGATACTTCTGATTATTGAATGTACCAGGTAGTTTCCTTCGACATATTGTTCCCACACAGTTTGTGATGGTTTTATGTGTTCGATAAGCATTATATTCGAAAGAGATCTATTTTAAGAGTAATGAATACATAATTATAAAAAAAGAATTGATTCAGATTTGCAATACAATACTTACCGTTACAGAATTTTTTGGATATCAGTTTTATAGCATAGGATTGGATTTTTTTAAGCTGAACAATTGTCGATTTTGAAAATTTCGGAACTCTGCGGAGAGATTATAATTCTCATAGACCCACTGAAGAGTAATATTCATGCATGATTGTGTCTAGCAAATGGAATGTAATGAACATATTGGTATATATTTACATCGTCTTTAGCCCTAAAATAAATTTGATCAATGACGCTCTCCCACGAATAGCACAATTTGTGTCGTTCTAAACAAATTACGGTTAGTACATTTTTTATTTAATAACTCCTGAGCGTTGAAATATTCCGAATCAGGATTGGATGAAGACAGGCAAAAATCATTATTTCCTTGATTTATTTTCTGATTCGACTCTCTTAGACAAGGTTTCTTCGAGAATTTTTGATCACCAGTTTCTTCCGGAAGGAGATCATTTATACGTTTTCGAATCACATTGCCGGTTTTATTGGTTAAGGTCTTGTCAATAGAGGTCTGGAAAATGGCTTGGATTTAATAAACTTAATAAACCAACCACCATAAGCAAACAAGTCTAACAAATTTTTTCTTTCTCAAGAGTACGAGCACGTTCTGATTGTCAAAAATAATTATTGATGCTTTGCTTGTAATAACCTTTTTCGTATTTTGCTTGATTTCAATAAGTTTGGGATCATTTTTATAAATTTTGAGGCTCTCACTGAGAGCGGAGCACCAATTTGAGACACCTTCCTTCGAGGAGAAGTTGAACTTTTCAAAAATGTGGTCGGTGCAGGTCTTTCGCCCTTAATAAAAAAATCAATGTACTGACTGAGAAATCGAGGTTGCCCTTGAGTCAGACATTAGAAAATAATTTTTGTTCATCAGGGATGTCGCGTTTTTTTCAAGTATCCTAGCCATGGCAAAAAAAGGTGTCGGGTCACGTGATAATAAACCAATCCAACTAATAAGAACGCGCAAAAATTCTGCGCAACCAATAGGAATGTAGCAAATTTTTGATCAACCCGGCAAAACAAATCCGACACCAGAAAATGAGAAAAGACAAAAATGCGAAAAATACAAAAAATAAACATTTAAATCTAGCTTGACGCATTATTAAAAAATGTCGAGAAGCCAATTTTATATACAAGCTTGATTTCAAATTTAACTATTCCTAATCCTAATACTTGATATCTAATCTTAATCAGATATTTTAATGGATTTATTTCAGATCACATGATCTAACATTTTTTTTTGCCATGGCTAGGTTACTATTTTTTAATCCATGTTTTCTTGTATCATATATAGTATAGATAACTTTGTTTCTTTCACTAACTGTGCTAAATTTTTTTCTTTTATCCTTATAAAATAAAATATATTCTGTGAGATATAATGCTACAGTTACTTTAAATAAAGAGTTTTTTCACTTTCAGTAAAAGAATCATATGAGTTGAAAAAGAGAAATAGATTAATAAAATTGATCAGTGCAAAAATAAGTATCTAAATCTGTGTCAATTTTGACAGAAATTATTAAATAGTTCTATCAAGAATAAAAAGAAAGATTGAAAAAGTATTCAAAAAAACAATTAATTAATAAGAGTTGCTAACTAAATAAAAAGATATTGATGTTTCTATACTTGTAATCATACGTTCTAGTACTTTCAATACTGAAGAAAATAAATTACTAAATATCACTTATTTAGAGTTGCAATGCACAACTATATTACTTATTTAAAGTTGTAATGTACAACTATACAAATCAATATTACTTATTTAAAGTTGTAGTACATAATTATATCAAAATAATGCTATAGCAAATCAATATACTTATTCAAAAATACTTATCCAAAAATACTTTAACTGTCTTTTTCAAATTTAAAGACAAAAGTAATAATCAAAAATTCAATTCTATACAAATTAATTTCTTGATCTTGCTCAAAATTTATAAAAAGTGACTTGAATTATAAGATTTAAAGTTCAATCAATAAATTATTTTTGTCAGGTAACTTGATTTGATGAAAAAAGATACAAGAATAAATATTAATAAGACAATCGTTAACTTTGTATTAAAGATTAAAATTTATTAATTTGTTTGAAGTATTAAAACATAAAAGAGTGTGTGTAGAGACAGCACTTCTATTTATACAAAATTTTTTAATACATTTTATTCTATCTATATTACAAAATTATAAAAAAAAGATATATAAAAGATAGAAAAGGTAAATAAAAAAAGGTAGAAAAGATAGAAAGTAAAGGTAAAAAAAAGTAGAAAAGATAATAACAAAAATAAAAAAAGTAGAAAAGATAAATAATAAAGATAGAAAAGATAGAAAATAAAGATATAAAAGATAAAAAAAGTAAAAAATAAAGATATAAAAAATAGAAAGAGCAGAAAAAGTAGAAATAAAGATAAAAAAGTAGATAAAATGAATAATAAAAGTAAAAAAGATAGATAATTATATAGTTACTAAATAATTAATATATGTAAACTATTTTTATCAATTTGTTGTTTTATTACTATTTTTGAAGATTTTTATATTTTCTACTTTTTTGAAAGATTTATTAATTAAGGAATTTTTGAAAATAAATGTAATATTTGATTTATCTTTAAAGATTTTGTTTCACAAAATTTTAAAGATTCTTTCAGAATTCTTTAATTTCATGATTCTTTATTCATTAAATTTGAGTAATATTCGAAGAATTCTTTTGTTGTTAAATTTGACTTTCATCATTAAATATTTTATAAGTATTTCAAGCAATTATAAAAGATTTTTTTTCAATATATATTTCAAAAGATTCACTAAGTTTGTCTTTTAATTTATATTATTAGAGTTTGTATTTCTTTGAAGGCTTGTTGATTAATTTTTTAATAAATGATTATTCTTTTAATGTTTTTCATTTTTTTGTATATACTCATCTGAGTAACTTTTCAAGTTGTGATTTCCAAATTTCAGAATCAGAAGATTTTTCTTTAGATTTTTCTTGGGATATTTCTTTAAGTAATTCTTTTTCTTTTTGAGTTAATATAGAGAAAGATTCTTCTTCATTGTCATTAATTAGTTGTAATAAGTGATCCAAATAGTTTTTCAAAATCAATTAAATCTTCTGGTTTAATTTCATCAAATATAGAATTAAGTATAAATATTAATTTATTAATGGATAGTTTTTTTAAGAGAATAATAAGATTGATTATTGGTTCTTTAGCTTTTCCAACTGGTGATTCAAAAAGTTCTGGATTATTAACTAGGAATTCATTAATTATATCAAAGTCTTGAGATAATTCATTAGTAGATATTCCTGTAAAAAAAATTTTGAATATATCAGGCAAAAATCCAGTTTTTTGTATTGATTCATTTTTTATTCAGAATATTTTCTGGATAAAAAACAGATCAATACAAAAAATCTGGTTTTACTTTAGCAAAAATTCATTTTTATTGCTGGAGTAAAAACAGTTTTTAAAAGATCTGATATACTTTCATTTTTTTTTATTGAATGAAAAATGGATTTATACAAAAAATCTGGTTTTATTTTAATAAAAATCCATTTTTATTGCCAGAGTAAAAATAGTTTTAAAAGATCTGACATATTTCTATTTTTTTTATTGGATAAAAAATGGATTTATATAAGAAATCCAGTTTTACTTTAGCAAAAATCCATTTTTTATTCAGTAAAAAAAATGAAAGTATGTCAGATCCTTATCATTTTTACTCTGGTAATAGAAACAGATTTTTACTTTTATTTATCAGTATGTATTACATGATCTTTCTTATCTATTATATAATTTCTATTTTTGATGATTGAAAAAAATTGATAGATCTAGTTATAGCATTAACATTAATAATTTCAGAATGATCAAGATCATGGAAAATAAGTAAACTATAACTGGAAACTACTGATGTAGTAACCTATTGTACCAGAGCTAACAATGTTCATTCATTTTTATACTTTATATATTCATGTACAAAATAGTATTTTATTTTTCCATAAAATTCCTGTTCTTCTAAATCAATAGGTATTTTGTTCTGGGTATTTTTATTAATCAATAGTGTTACCTAAAAAAAATAGAGTAATTATTAGTATTTGCCTGAAAAGAAAATTAACATATCATATACATACTGCTATTCAATAATTAGCATAAGATACGTCTCCTTTTCATCTGATGAATTATGAATTAATTATTTCTTTATTCACAGTTTGAAGCTTCTCATAAATTTAAATATCTGACAAAATCTTCTAAAATTATTATCATGTCAGATTATACCAGTATCAGTATATATAGTGACTAGTTCACAAATGAAGTTTTGGACTAGATAAAATACTGGTGAAAAATACCTCCTCAAGTTTATCTATTTCTTGTGCCGTAATATAGTAATGTCTAAGTAACTGTTTTTTCAGTTTGCTAAGTGTACGTTGTCACGAGTCCTGGGCTCAGATAGATAATATCATGATGTGGATGTTCAACTAATGTCTATTTTGGTAAGTTAATATTTTGATCC